CAATGAAGAAGTATTGTCCAATTTTTAGTTTCGCGAAATTGATGTATGCTTGAAACATTGTCATACCCTGTCCCATTAGCTTGACGGCTAATTAAAAGTGAAATCTAAGCGATAGTGATGATCAGGATATTGAGAATACGGATCGTGAGAACTATTAGCAATGAGAGTTAATCTGCTCTGTGTCCCTCTCAGTCTCTTCCCACTTTGACAATTGCGGACAATGCACCGAATAAAATTTAACGTTAATAATGTCAGAAAAATATCCTTTGTGTTCCATTATTCCACTGGTTATTTTGAGATTAAGATTAGAGAACATCCGTGAAAATTTCAATCGTTTCACTGTGTAAGTCTGATAGTTTGTTTTCTTGAAAACACGAATACTATGCTATTTTAGCTCTTATGGCCCCTCGCATCTTGACGTCAAGCCTAACGCTTTCCACTCAATTTTCGCATCTCTAGTAGCTAGAAGCATAATGTTGCATTTTTTAGGGTCACTTTGTGCACCAAAATAAAGGGTAATGACAAAAATAATTTCCTATCCGTCCATGCTTGAATCATGTCTAGCAGTTTCTATCAGGCTTTGTGACCTCCTACTGCAACGGAGTAAAAGCTAAGTATCTAAAAACTTGCGCTTTATTGGAAGTTGAAGTGGCCAAAAGTGTGCTCTTAAAAAAAAGTTTAAAATTCCACAAAACAAAAATGACAATATTACATTACGTTTGTAAAGGTTAGAGTTCTCGAAAAGTTTTTCAACCTGCAATCCTTGAACTGTTGAAATATTAGGATTTTTTCTAGAAAATTCGAAACAGGATTGGTTGTTTTATAGTTTGTTCATATCCGTAGACTCTTATCACGTTCTATCGGCAATGATTTTCTATAAGGAAGTGTTTTGCCATTGTTCCTTGCATGTTGCAGTTTCCCTATGCCTGAATAGACAGCTATCTCACCCAAGCTGATAAGCATCGTTAACACTTTACCAGATGACGTTTTCCAGAAAACAGCTTGTAAATATGCGTTGGAATGCAATATTCGACTAAAGAGGGTCCATGCAAGTTCATAAATCCTTGTGACTAGAAAAATACTTGAGATGTTGATTGACATGCTACACAGTACCTGCTGAGTTGAGAAAAAAGCGAGAGCTGCCAATAAGAATTTTCAAAATATGTGATGTAATATAATTTTCTCAATTCCAACAAAGCATGGGGTGAACTTCCGCTTTTGTTGATCGTGAAAGAGCTTTAGATAAATGGTAATTTTTAGGCAGATTGATAGAAAACAGATGTGTGAGAAAATTCTGAGGACATCTCTAATAACTCAATGTGGGAATCTGTACAAGTTTTATCTATTTTAAAGAAATTGACATCGAATCATCAAAGATGTGATCTATTCAAATTGTCCGAAAAAACCAAAATACTCCGCGAGGTGCATGCCTGAGCAGTGAATGATTGAATATTTGTGTGAGAGTCATTAAAATAGCTACGAGGACTTTTGTGACGCTCCCTGGAAATGATGATCGTGACTCCCTCTGAAGTCACATTGATTGTGCCGCCTTTATGGATGCAGTATTTTTTCGGTCTCGTTCAATAAGCTGTTTTAGGTTACGTGCCGTTTTCGAGTGCCTGCTGGAAAATACATAATCGTTCCCTGCACTTTCGACCCTGGTTGTGATGGAGAGTTTCTGCTACGAATATATGTGAATGGAAAGCTGCAAGCTAGGTAAGGCAACACAAATTTGAGCAAATCAAAATTTTAAAATGTAAAACCATATTTCAGCCGTCTGCAGTAATCCTGCTTAGTACGATGTGCGCGCAAGAAGCTGGAGTCTCCTATTGCTTTTGAAATTTATGTAATTGTATCCTTTATGAATGCATAATAAACGGTATGGGTCACAAGGGTGCTTTAAAAAAACTTTTTAGTTCAGATCAACGTCACTCACACTTGGAAAGGCTAGCGAGACAGTTTTACGATCGCTATAAAACCAGCATAGATGTAATCACCATATGAACCCGCGTAGCCTTATGAACCTGTTTGTTAGAAGTTCACCCACGAATAAGAAGCTGTTGGACAAAACAGGGTTACCCAATGATAGTGTGTCAAAGTCTCAAAAGTCTCACAGAAATATGCATTTCAGTAGTGACTGTTTTTGTAGTAAAAATCTTCGCAAAAAGAAAAAACATCGCTTGTATTGTTGGACTACTCCTTATGCAATTCATTTGCAAAAATCAAGGAGAGCTGCGATTTTACTGCTTTCGAAAGGTCATAAGATGTCGCAAGATGTCTATATGTCGACGTTGTAAACTTGAAACGCCATGTGTTTGCGAAACTTGGTTTGTTGAGAAATATAGCCTTTACTTCAACTGATGAATTTGGTTTTGTGTGTCACGAGACTGTCTTGGCTTCAATAACATTGAAGGTTTGCGCATCTAGGTTTTGGTACAACAAAGATCTTCACTTTGAGATAACACGTTCTATGAGATTTAGGTTAAACTTTGGGACAATATGGCCTCATCGCTCAGATTTTAGAATCAGTCTATAGTTTTTAATGGTCGAAAGGTTAGGCTTTATAAAGGCAGCAGTAAAAGAACCATTACTTTTCTACTTTTGAACGTCCTTTAACCAGTTCACCTCGTACTTTATCTTTTATAAGTACACTAACGACTCCGCTTCGATTTGCAAAAGATTCGCTTACAAATAATCTATGCACTTGTG